CGTATCCAGTCCATAAAGGTTTTATCATCTACCTTATATGAAAAAAAAAGTCTTTAGTTGTGTTATTTTTCACTTATTTGGCCTAAAAATTTGATTTAATTCGGGTTCGATGCGGGTTTGTCTACTTGCGCGGATTGATACGGGGAATTCTAAACGACGCAGACGTGTCAACAACTCTCTCACAATACACAAAGAATGTAGCAAAATATATCCACAAATTGCATTTTACTGAAACAGCAAGTGAACGTAAATTTATAATAATATTTTAACGGCAATAAATACGAACTCATTATAAACTTTCTTGAACACTACGGTCCAGCTAAGTTGGTCATTTACTGACTGTCCGAATCGTATATGACAAACGGACGTTTTCTTGGAGCTGACGTAACGTTGTAGAGCCGCAGGTAGAGAAATGCTGATTTCATAGCTGCTAAAAACTGTTGTCGGTGAACGAGAAATTGCTTGACAAGAAGCAGTTTGGTTCACAGTTCTAGATTCGGGCGTAGCTCGACTAAGAATATCGGAAATGTGCCGATGATCTTCCATGGAGACAGTATCGTAGTCCTGTCATGAATTAGTTTTCGCGTATCTGTTTACCGACTTTGTTAGCTGATTACTAGTGAATGGCCAGTGGCGGATCCAGCAAAATGTATTGGGGGGTATACGGAGCGTAAATCGCAGAGAAGCTATGCGTAATCCAGATCATATGAATCGTCATGCGTTTGAGAGGAGGGGACATCCCCCTGGCCCCTCTCTGGATCCGCCACTGTGAATGGCTGTGTTATATCTGTCATCATTTATCATTTAGGCTCATGCGAGGTCCTGGACAGAACTTGACTCAGTGATTTGGAACTAATTACGATATAACTGACGCCATCCGGACTACTATTTCTGACGTTTGGTATTAGCAGTTATTAATATAGTGAACGATTAATCAAAAGATATGACGTGTCCAGTACTTAGTCTGATTTGGATATGTGTAAGTTGAATGTGTGAAGGTTACGCCTTATAAAATTTGAACTTCTTTGTAATTGGTTAAGTTTTGATACGTAATAAACGGTCTAAGTCCTTGGTTCCAGAGAGAGCTCCACGAGGCGAGAGAGTCTTGGTCAGTCCTGGGCAGAGTTCTGGACGAGTCAGTCTTTAGCAGAGTGTCCGACGAGGCAGTTCGCCTTGAGATGTTGTCGATGTGGTTAAAAACTAGCTATTGAAACGTATTTCGTTATGTGCGTCTATTTGACTGTAAAGCTTAAGTGACCTTCCCGGCCCGGTACCTCAAGCAGACGTGTATGGAGACAGACGAGAACCCCCCCCCCCCCGTCACGTGTTGGAGAAACCCGGGCAAGACGAATTTTCTGCATGACAGTCCTGTAAACTTGACACGTTTTTGTGACCAGTTATCTTTATGCTTTGTTGATACCGGCTTTCGTCAGGGTTTGAACAGTCGTCTTCCGAACAGAGTGGTTTGTTTTTCATCCGGTAAAGGACATGGAAGCGGCAGCACGAATGATGCTATCTTGTTTTTCCCCATCGGACGAGAAGAGCCTGAGTATCACGAAAATGAGTTGACACGAGATGCAGGAATCGGTTGGATATAAAACGGACTGTCGAGCCCGCATGTATTAATCGGACGGTGTCGAACATGCTCTCTATAAATTCAGACAGAGTCCCTGGAACTGTCGGGAAGGGCAATCATACGAGGGGGGGTACACGCCGATCACCATACTTTCCATCACGAGTCTTAGTGTCGCGTTCTTGGAACTGCAGAAATTCGCGTCCAGAACCATCTCGTTGTACAGTAATATCTCCATGGCACAACTTTCTATGTTCATCCCGGCCGCGAGGTCCGAAATGTTTGATAAATAAATACCACAGCGTAAAATTGAGGGTGTCTCCATCGGCGGTCCCTAGTTTACCTCCTTTCCACATTGCGTCTTCTTCTTCCGGAGATATTGCTTCACTGGCGTGACTACCGAAACCGAGGCCAGTTTTCTTGAGGAGAATCCGTTTTGCCTTCGAAGCATCATTTGTTAACGAAAAATGTTTATTAGACAGAGATACTCCGTAGTTGTTTTCGGTGAGATATATTTCTTAGCTATGCTTTATTGCAAAACGGATCCTGGTTCATATTCAGTTCCATTCTGTTTCTTCAAGTTAACAAATAATGTGGCCAAGTACGCGTTTAGTGTCTTAGGTGGAATAGCTTACGATGGTCGGCATATCGGCTCTGAATATAACTCCGTACCTTTGCAACGTCTCGTTCAGTTGTACGAACTGTGCTTACTTTTCGTTGTGATTTTATAAAATCGTCCATAGCTTCTAAATCTTCTTTACCGACACTTTCCGCGACATAGTCGACTTTATCATCACCAAATAATAAAGAGTGCAACTGGTCTTTCGGTATATTCCCCATCCACTGAATAACATTGTCAGCCATAATCTCAAATTACGCGCGTTGTTTGTAAACAGAAAGTAGTTCCAGGAAATAGACGCGTTTACCAAATATGGTAAACGGGACCCGGGCGTGATATGGAAAATTATTGAACGGCTTGCGCATCGGGATTCCCATAGCGTTACGAGGCCGGGCAATACAAGGTATATGATAAGTATTAATATTACACACAAGTACTGATCGCTTAACTAAATACACATTAATTTGTGCATTTATATATTATGAGTGGAAAGTGTCACGTACGTTCCCGCGTTGAAGTCATTTATAATAGTTTGCAACACTAATTTAAAAAAAATATAAATTACCAGCAATTACAAAAATAGTTCAGTAGAAAAAATAAAAATGACAATACTGAAACTGTGTGATATGCATCTTCCACTTTATTTGAATAAAACCAATCCCAAAATCGTAAATATATAAGATATATTTTTAGTACTGTGAAACCACCCAAGGCAAAACTAAATGTATGTTGCGTTTTTATATTTCAATAGTAATTGCTACTGGAAGCGATCCAATTTCAATACTCACGCATATTGTCGTAAAATCACGGAACATTTTGCTGGTAAGCTTAATTTGCTGTTAGCGCGCCTGCTTGCAAATGACGGCAATGAGACCAGAAATTGTTTAAACACAAAGCCGGTGCATTCAATGTGGTGAATGCAAAATACACGAACTTCTATCCTTGACAATGATTTTTTGGGGAATTTTTATTTAAATCAACGCTAACGGTAAAGTATACCTGGTGTATCTAGAGATTGAATTATCACTTTAAGTTGTTGCAGTTGTAAGATTATAGTATGTGGAAATTATCGACTCCTACATTGGTTTTTCATTATTCAAATTATGTAACCCAATTTGTTTGTAGCTACGTTGGTACCTCAGTTTTATTTTTCAAAGCAACATAATTAGCAATGGCTTGTGATCTTATCTGGTATTTGTTATCGTACAAAACCATACACTAATAGCCATCTCACGCAATACATATATTTATGTGTTGTATAATGCGTGTAGTTAGCGTGACTGTGAATAAGTACCGGCATTTTAACAATCCTATTCACTTTGCCTCGAGGAAATACATTCATGTTGACTCACCTCACGCATATTCTATGTATGTGGCAACACAATATATAAAGTTCATACGAAGATTTCAG